GATGCCTCCTATTTGCTGTTCACGCATAACATACAGTTTTTGTGTTTTCGTTTAGCTTACGCCTCCTCAAATTCCTGAGGTCCAACTACCAGCCACTCCAAATGCGAGGACAACGCAAGTGTTTCAAGCATTCGAAGGAACGCGGCGTTCCGAGGAGGAGGTAATTACTTTTTAAAATGTTGCCCAAACGATAGCAGTTTTGCCTATTCAATAATATCCGTCGTAGGTAGATTTCGCTAGCTATTAAAGTGAACCCTTTTGGGGCAGTTGTTTTAGGAGTATGTTAAACCGTTTCATCCCGCCATAAGTTTGCTGTTACTGTTTCTGCTCTAGTGGTCTTGGGCGCGAAGGTGTCTCACAATGCCATTACGAGCCCTGAATGTGCAGTGACAGCGTAGGCTTTTACGAATGGCCAATTGGCACTCTCGTCATTCATTTCCGGCCTATTGTATGCTGTTGGCTTGACCGCTCTTCCTGCCTGCTTGTGAGGCCAAATCGCGTCTGCGATCGCGCACGGCTTCATTGTTTTGAAGTAGGTGTTCACTTAACATACTCACGCCAACGACATTCCATAGAAGCTGGATTTGGTTAAACGTTACAAAAAGACTGACAATGTGGTGTTCTTGGAGGAGGCTTGTATCCGAACTTCATTCCTGTCATCGCATTTACAGCATGTGTGGACAGCTGGGCTGGATGTGGTTTACTGCGTCCAGGCCGCAAATTAGTTTCCAAGCAGCGTATTTGCCCATCTGCTTGCAGCTTTTAAACATGAATGAGTTGGTTTAAAGTCTGCAACCAGTCAACGGATTGCTACAACTGGAGATGCCAACGACACGTTGGCCGAAGCAGTGTGATTAATGCAGCTTGTAGTTCTGATCTCTTGAAAGCAAAAGCCTGCAGCATCTTCTCAAATGAATGTCGTCTAAGACACAGACTGCTGCTGTAGTAATCGTGCACTACCAATTCCGAAAGCGTAGATTCCTGTGAATTCCCGAATTCGTCCCTCGCTCAGGCAGGCCGGGTATACTTGTGGCCCATTTCTAGCCTACTTTCCTGCATAAACTTCCATTCCATATCTCACAACGATTAACCATTAGCCAAAAGCTATTGTTGGTGATGCTCAAGGCGTAAATCTTCCAATTCGCACCTGTGCGGACCAACAGGTTCCTTCTTTAAGTATGGAATCTGACCAATTCACACCATTTGTATTTTACATCAATCAGCAATCTGTAGAGCAAGATTGTTTCAAGTAAGATGCGATTTCCTGGTGTTGACTAGGAGCATGTAGACGAACTTAAGCGAATGGCGAATTCTTGGGTATTTGGCAATTTGTTTCCTGTACGTATGGTGTCTTCTGAGAGTGTATTCTATTATGCTTATTGATCAGGGCCTTAAAAACCTTGTCGGAGGGTGCAATTGTTTGTGAATGCGTCAAGGAATGTATGTCAGCCCCTCGAGGCTGGATATAGAGCCTCTCTCGCAAGACATAAATTTTGTCTTTCGGTTTAGCCTGTGCCTCCTAGAACTCGCAAGGCTCCAGAACTAGTCCAGATTTGCTGACACTTCGGACAGCTGGTCCTGATTGCTGAAGTAGTCCTTCAACGAATTAAAAACTTGGTTTTTACCAAGTATCAACCGAAGTTTTTGGCTCGTTATGTTGATGACGCTCTCGTTATTTTCAAAACATCCGACATTAAGCACCTCAATGAGTTACTAAACTCGGTTAAAGGGTGAATTTAATACCACCAAAACCATCAACAGCTCTATTCTAGCGCACATGGTGGATTTCGGACATCAGGTG